AGAGCAGTTTTAACATCTTTATCCATATTTTAGTAAGAAACTTATATTTCAAATTAAGTATCATTTAAAGATATAGATGCTGTTCCTTCTACTTTTGATGGATCAGATAGATTACTTAAGTGTAATTTACATTCGCATTATTAATTAGTTTCATCACATTATTATGATTATTATATTAATATTATTAAGAATAATAATGATAGTACTTTCATGTTTTTATTATTATGATAGCTTTTTTAAATTTTTTTTTTTTATTTTTAATTATAAATAATTTTTATAGATATTATTTGATTTTATTTTATTTTTTATGCGTAATTTTCTATAATTTTAGATTCAAAAATTAAAATAAATTGTGAATTATATATTATATATTAATAATATAGATAAATGTATATAATAAATAAAAAGTAAAATATAATCACAAATTAATAAAATATAAAAATTAAAATAATTAATTAAAAAATAAAATAAATAAAAAATATTAAATAAATACTATAAAAATTCAAAAATAATTTATTTTTTATATATTTTATTAGTTAAATATTTTTTTTAAAAATATATTATTTTACGTATTAATAAATTATTTTATTACAATAATACATATTAATTTTTTTTAATAACATATTATAAATTGTGTAATAAACTAGAAAATTTATAAAAAAGAAAATAGTAAAAAATAAAATTTAATATAAAAAAATAATTTTAATTTTTAAGATATAATTATTTTATATGCTATTTTTATTTAATTTATATTCTTTAGTATTTTTATTTTATTTCAAAATATAATTTGAAATTGTGGATTATAAATCTAAAAAATAAAAATTATATATTATTTATATAATAAATATAAATTGAAATATCTTATGAAAAATAAAAAAATGTAAAAATATAATATAATTTTTATTTTTTTAATATTAAACATATTTATAAATTTTTTTTTATATATTTGTATTATTATATCTTTTATATAAAAAAAGATAATAATAATAAAAATTGTTTAATTATTTTTAATATTTATTTTCAATTTTTATTAGATTATAGTCAAAAAATTATTTACTTTTAAATTAAAATCTAATTTATATATTTTTTTTTTTCGAAAAATATTTATTTTTGCTTTCTTATATATAATATTTAATTTTTTTAATATCCAAATAAAAAAAAATTAATAAAAATAACATATTAATCAATTTAAATAAAAAAATAGAAAAAAATCACAAATTTAATAAAAAAAATATATTTTATTATAAAAATAAACTAAGATTTTTTTCATTTATAAAAAATATTTAATTTTTTTCAATTATCTTTTTTTCAGTAATATTTTATTTAATATTAAATTCTACTGTAACATGCATAGTCATTTTTTATCCTTTTATTTATTAATAATCAATAGAAGAAGTTTTTAAACTGTCAACACTATATTAGAGATCTTTTAAAATTATATCTGCCTTTTTTTAAGCATTTTTAACTGCTTCACCAATTAATTCATTTTTAACTTTTTATATTTATTCATCATCAGGAAAGTATTTAACAAAATCAACAGTATTAAATCCATTTTCAATAGCAGTCTAAATCACCTCTTCAGCCTTTTCTAATTCAGAAGATTTTACTTAAATCTAATTTTTAACTTTATATCCTACATGTTATCTCTCTCTTGTTTAGTAACTTAATTTTCTACTTCATTATAAGCATTTTGAATAGAAAAACCACTAGTAGAAACAGTTAATGTATCATCTTTTTTTAATTCTTCTAATACTTTATTAACAACATCGTTATTATTTTTAAGAGCTACTGATGCTACTTAATCTTAAGTTTCATAAGAAAATTATAATAAAAATTAAGTATCTTTTAAATCCACAGATGCTTTTCCTTCTATATTTAATGGATCAGACAGATATTTTAATTATTTTTAACATAAGCATTTTTAATTTTCTTCTTTTTATTATGATTATGGTTATGGTTGTTATAAATCTTATGATTGTTATTGATCTTATGATTGTTATTGATCTTATTATTGTTATTAGTCTTATGATTGTTATTGATCTTATTATTGTTATTGGTCTTATGATTGTTATTGATCTTATGATTGTTATTAATCTTATGATTGTTATTGATCTTATGATTGTTATTGATCTTATGATTGTTATTAATCTTATGATTGTTATTGGTCTTATGATTGTTATTGATCTTATGATTGTTATTAATCTTATGATTGTTATTGGTCTTATGATTTTTATTGATCTTATTATTGTTATTAATCTTATGATTGTTATTGATCTTATTATTGCTATTGGTCTTATGATTGTTATTGGTCTTATGATTGTTATTGATCTTATGATTGTTATTGATCTTATTATTGTTATTAGTCTTATGATTGTTATTGATCTTATTATTGTTATTAGTCTTATGATTGTTATTGATCTTATTATTGTTATTGGTCTTATTATTGTTATTGGTCTTATGATTGTTATTGATCTTATGATTGTTATTAATCTTATGATTGTTATTGATCTTATGATTGTTATTAATCTTATGATTGTTATTGGTCTTATGATTGTTATTGATCTTATTATTGCTATTGGTCTTATGATTGTTATTGATCTTATTATTGTTATTAGTCTTATGATTGTTATTAATCTTATGATTGTTATTGATCTTATGATTGTTATTAATCTTATGATTGTTATTGGTCTTATGATTGTTATTGATCTTATTATTGCTATTGGTCTTATGATTGTTATTGGTCTTATTATTGTTATTGATCTTATTATTGTTATTGGTCTTATTATTGTTATTGATCTTATGATTGTTATTGATCTTATTATTGTTATTAATCTTATTATTGTTATTGATCTTATTATTGTTATTGGTCTTATTATTGTTATTGATCTTATTATTGTTATTGATCTTATTATTGTTATTGGTCTTATTATTGTTATTGATCTTATGATTGTTATTGATCTTATTATTGTTATTAATCTTATTATTGTTATTGATCTTATTATTGTTATTGGTCTTATTATTGTTATTGATCTTATTATTGTTATTGGTCTTATTATTGTTATTGATCTTATTATTGTTATTGGTCTTATTATTGTTATTGGTCTTATTATTGTTATTGGTCTTATGATTGTTTTTGGTCTTATAATTATTCTGATTCTGTTTGTGATTATTATATTAATATTAATATTATTAAGAGCAATAAAGATACTTTTTTCATTTTTTTATTTATTCTTTTAGTTTTATTAAAAAAGGTAGAGTTTTATATTTATTTATAAATTATTTTAAAAGATTTTTTTTTTATGCGGAATTTTCAGTAATTTTGGTTTCAAAAATAAAAATAATTTTTTTTCTTAGACTAAATCTATAAAATAGAAAAAATAATATAGAACAAATTATAATCACAAATTAAAGACAAAATATAAATACTCACAAATTAAATTCAAAAAATAATCAATCACAAATTTAAAAAAAAAATACTTTTAAATAAAAAATTAATCATAAAACTTATAAAAAAAAAATTATAAAAATATATAAGTAAATAAAAAAAATCATTGAAAAATAGTTAAAAAAAGAAAAATAAATTAAAAATTAAAAGTTTTAATTTTTATAGTAAGTTACTATTTTGATAATAAAAATAGTTTTTTATAAATTTAATAATTATTTTTATAGAATTTTATTTTATATATTATTTTAGTTATAAAAATAAAAATAATTATATAAAACAATAAAAATAAAATAATACTAATTAAAACCTATAGTAAATTGAAAAATTGACATAAAAAAAATCAAATAAAAAAATAAAAAAGAATTATTAATATAGAAAAATATTTTAATAAAAAAAATATTAAAAATAAAAATATAAAATAATATATATAATATAATCATGATAATGAATGAAAACCAAAAATTAATATAGAAATTAATAAAGAAATACAATTTTAATAAAGATATAAAAAATATTTTTTAGAATTATATTTTATCATTTAAATCACATAAATAAAAATGAATTATGTATTTATAAAAAAAATATTATAAAGAAAAATATATAAGTCAAATATAGTGACAAATTAAAACATGAAATGTAATAAATATCAAATGATATTTTAAAAATTATAAAAATAAAAATAAATTAAATAATATATTCAATCAAAATTTATTTAAATATATTATTTTTTAATTAGATAAGATATATTTTTTTAATTAATTATAAAATAATTATTTTTACCCAAAGATATTTATTTTATTATTTCTATATTTAAGTTTTGAAATCAAAATATAATCAAAAATTAAAAGAAAAATAAATTTATATTTTTTTTAAGAGTAATATTGTTTATAATTTTTATAAAAATCATGAAATTATTATAAATAAAATCTTCAAAAGTAATAAATATAAATAAAATAAAAATAAAAAAATCATTTATTTGTTTATAATTTATTTTAAAAATAAAATATTTTATTTTAAAATAAAAATATAACTTATTTTATAGAAAGATATTTTTTATAATTATTATATTATTAATTAAAATTTAATTTTTTCAAAAATAAAATAGAATTGAATAATAATTATCATAGAATTTATATATATTTTTTTTTTTTTTTTTACTTTTCTAATAATTTAATTTTTTAAAAAAAATTTTAATTTTTTCTATTTTTATAAATACTTCAAAAAAAAAAAAAAAAAAGTATAAAAATATATATAAATATTTATCAAATTAAAGGCCTGAAATTAAAAAAAAAAAATTAAATATAATTAATTATTTTCTGATTAAAAAAAATATTTACATCTAATGATAGTGTATTTTTTATTTTTTTTTCTTATAAAATTTTTAATAGTATTTTTTTTCTTACAATAAAATTTACCCCCAATTATTTATTTTTATAACAAATAATATAGTCCCATAAACACATCCAAAAAGTAAATTTCTTTATTTCCAACAATATAAACAGATAAATTTGATAAAATAAAATAAATAAAATATTCCTACAAAAAAATATATATTAAAAATTTTAGAAATATTTTAATAATTCTATATGAATTTTTTTTTTTTCAATTTATTAAATTATAATACATAAATATATTGTATATTAAAAGAATAAAATATATTAATTATTATATTATCATCATAATTAATATTAATATAGTTTTTTATAGGATAAAATAATATAAATTTTTTTTTATATTTTTTTCAATTTTTATATTAGTTTTAATTATATGGAATTATCTAATTAAGATTAATGACAATTTTTTAAATGACGAACTTATTTTTCTTTTTAAATTAATTTTTTATTTTTAGAAGATAACTAGACTGATTTTTTTTTTATTATTATTAAGGGAGTAATTTTAAGCTCTCTATTTCTTTTTAATAAATATATTCTATGTTTATCATTAGAAGAAATACTTTATAAAATATACAATATTAATAAAAGTTAATATTTTTTATTTACATTCATATATTTTTATTAATATTATTTATAAAATTATTTTCTTTTTATTGCAATATTTTTTCTAATTTTGAATATATATCTCAATGGCTTTCTTTTTTTTTAAATCATTATTTTCTTATTTTAATTTTTACAGATAATTATTAAAATCTTATGTTTTGTCCTCGAAATAGGCTTTTTATTCAAGGTTACTTAAATTGTTTATTTAACTTAATATATATATGTCTTCTGTTATAGAATTTCTTAGTTTATTTTTTAAATGATTTATTTGGTTTTCGTAATTTTTTTTTTAATTTTTGTAAGGATTAATTTATATTTCTTTGATTTTTATAATGGCTTTTTTGGCTTTCTTAAGTATTTCTTTAACTTTATTAAAAATTTGTTTGACTTTATTAAGGGTTTTTTTTAATTTCTATATAATTATTTGACTTTTATAATGGTTTCTTTAATTTTCGTAAGGGTTTCTATGATTTTCGTATAGTTTTCTTAAATTTTCATATTGATTTCTTTCACTTTCTTAAGGATTTCTTTAATTATTATTTCGTTATTTATAATTTTACTTGGAGAATCAATTATGTTAATTAAAAGTTTAATTTTGATAATCTCAAGAAGTATTGGAATATTTATTTTAAAGAACTTATTAACTAATTGCCTAATATTTTTTGATTATTATAAAATTTATTCAGGGTAGTTAATTATATTAAAGTTTTCAATTATTTAATAAATTTTTTTAATTAGAGTTTAGTTCACTTAATTCTAACTATAATTAAGACTTAAATCTAATTTAATCTTAATTTCAAGGTTTCGACTTTTGTGAATAAGGATTATAAACTTATTATCATTATCAATATAGACTTTATTACTATTATTAAGAGTTTCAACCCTATTTTTAGTGATACAAGCCTTATTATCCTTATTATTAAAGTGTGTACTATACTTTTTCTTACAAATGATTATAAATTAATGTAATTATAAAGGATTTTGACACTTTTATTATTATAGAGATATATTAACCATTTTTTATAGATGAAAGTCTTATTATTAAAGATTTTTAGAATATTTTTAGTATTATGATTATCTTAGTATTATTAAAATAATGGACTTTAGCTTTATTATTATTTATAATAGCTTTATTTCATAAAATATTAAATTTTTTATCAAAGTAAATGAGTTTATTAATATTATTGAATAGTTTATGGTTTAGACAAATATTTATAAGATTATTCTTAAAGCTATAATAAAATGAATTTTATATAATTATTATTATTATTCATTTTAATTAGTTGAATTATTATTATGATCTATATTATTTTTAAAAATATAGAATTTTAATTATTTAATTTATTTTATAAATAACAATAAATTATATTGTTTATAGAAACTAATAAATAAATAAAAAATCAATAATTATTTTTAGAATATTATATAAATAATATTAATAAATAACATTATTATTATTTTATTTTTCTTAATTTTAAAAATTAAATTATTAATTATTTTTGTAATTTTCTATATAAAAATTATATGAAAAGAAATTATATATTTAAATTTAATAGCTTTAATTTAATGTATAAGATAATATATTTTTTTCTGAAAATTACATTTATAAAAATATGAAATTATTTTATTCTTTAAGAATATTATATTAAATTGGATAAAATCAAAATAAAAAATAACATATCTAAGAATAAGTTATACAGTAAAAAATTATTTTAGTAAAAGTTATAAATTTAATTATTAATAAAAAAATTATATAATGATTTTCGTATATATTTAATTTAATATTTATATTAATATTAAATAATCATAACATATAAAAATTATATAAATTTTATAATAAAAAAATAAAAAAAAAG